TGGATCCTGGTTCATTGGTGGGGTTATCATGGAATAATTATTCACACAAAATTCATTATTAATTATAACCACTACAAGCGATATATTAGGATTCAGATATTAGGAAAATATAAATATAGAATATTAGTTTCATCATGTATCAGTAATAGCTTAGAGAAAGACTCCAGTCAAAAGTAGTAAAACTCATCTCACAGACAAACTATTGAAAAATTTAGGGTCATAAAGACATGTAAATGCATCTATTGTAATCCAAGCATCTATAATTGACACATCAAAGTAGGCTCGTTAAGATCTTGCCCAGGGTAAGCATCCAAGCATCCAGTTAAAGTGCCAACGAGATTAGTGCCAGTTGAAATAGGATTAGCAGGATTAAGTACTCCCCTGTCTGGTCATTGAAGTTTTTTTTGTAGGACACACCCCATCTTGTATATTCTGTATTTCATTGGTTAATGTAGGGCACACCCATTTTTGTATCAGTCAACCAATCGTAATCTCTTTATTGTTTTAATTGTAGATAAAAAGTTTGAAAACCAAACGATGGCCAGTAGGGTTTAGACTCCCAACACAGGTAAGCTCTAGCCCTCAGCCCAGAGGGTTGTACCGACTCTCTGTGGCCACCCCATGTTATTCCATTCTTGTAAATAAAATTGTGATTAGCTTCTTGTGACTTTGGACTCTTTGCTGAGTTAGTTCCCCTAAGCAGACCAGCACGCCAGTTAGATAAGGGGTTTCAGCGGAACCCTCACTTGGACCCAAGACCCCTATCATAACAGGATGCAGGGATTACTTCAGCAGAAACCATGCTTCTAAATATCCTAAACTATCAGTGTCATAAAATGATGCAGCTTCCCTACTCTGGATTGCATATCCTTTCCTTAGCAGGGCTGACAGGTCAGTTTTAATACTGATCCCCTGTTTCTTTTGTAGTTTCCTGACTCTAAAGACTGCTTCCTGATCCAGGATACGGATGAAAGTAGCGATAATACGGAAGGTGATGTAGGGCGGTGTTTCTTCTGGTACACCGAAACAGAGAGTCAATGCACCACCCTGAGTGACTTTAGATTATTGAGAAAGAATGCCTGATATAACCATTCTGCATTTTCTTCCGAGGATTCCGCTATATCATATAAGTTTTGTGTATTTCCTTTAACATGTTTAAGGATTGTCTGTCATACAGACCCTGAAGCAAATATATCCAAGAAAGCCCACACAAGTCTAGAAAATGTGGCAAGTCTAGATTTCCACAGCTTCAGAGATGAAGAAAGTCTCAGGGCTCCTTTTCATTATATTTTATTTTTTTCACTATGAGCTTTTTTTCTGTAATATATGTTCATTTCAGAGACTAGTTGTTAGTCTAGTTTAAGGACAAGTTGTTTGTTTAGCTGAATGAGATGGCTTCTTTTGGTGATATCTCCTTGCACAGTTTCATGATTTCACTATCATGATTTCTAACGTCATGTTTTCTTTCTTGTCAAAAACATCTACTTTTAAATTGTCAGCAGAGTCCTGAATTTCATCTGTGTATTTATAGTGAGCTCAGCAAGACTCTTTTCAGAAGCTGTAACACTTGCAGCAACATTAGTCATGCTAGCCATATTGATGTGAGACGCTGAGTGTCCCACATGAATTTCATTTCAAAGGTTATGCAGAAACAAATATCACAGTTACTAGTTTATCCCATTTCCTTTGGTTTCTGATGTTTGCAGGCGATATTAATCCATTAATATAGATTATTTGGGTTAATCTATGGATCAGTGTGAGCCAGCAAAATACATCATAGCCTCCAATCAGGAGCAACAAGAAGTCCATGTGAATTGTGATCAAATAGTTGCTTGGTTGATTAACTAGCACATAATAAACCTGCAATAGTGTTTGTCTCCTGTGAGTTGCCTTATCTTAACGAAAACAAGCCTTTCCTCAAGTGAGACACACCTGATTATCCTGATAATGGAGGATGTCTACACTGATTGTTTGTTACTCTGCACTTTAGTATGACATATGTGAAAATCATAATGAAATTATTATCAGCGCTTTACATTCTCTCAACCAATTTTATTGTACACCCCTGGTAAAAGGCACCATTAAAGTGTATATTCAGAGCTCCAGATAAGATTTAGCTCATGTGGGTACTGTACCCACTGTATTTTTTGGGAGTGGGTATTATGAATGTTGAGTGGGTATTTCATTTTCCGTTACCCACTGCTTTCAAATATGTGCGTATTTCAGTCACTTTACTCACCTGAGTATCATGTCATTGAGCAAGTTTACTAAGCAGGTATGTTCTGCCTTATGTCATACCTAATCAAAACCAACTTAAATATAATGGAAATGATGTCATAAAAAATCACTCATCCTATACTGACATTACAACACTTGTCCTATACTAACAATACAACTGGAAAGCAATCGTTTTCATTACGCAAGCGATTTTTATAAATATATTCCGTACGCATTTGTTTTAAACTTGTTGTGTATCTAACATTTTAAATGCGTAATTGGTACGCAACAATTATTTTTCAATGCGTAATTCTATGCGTATTTTACCCGAATACGCAGCTTATCTGGGCCTCTGTATATTTCCTCAAAAAAATGGTAGCATATTAAATCATATATTTGTTAAATGTCCTGACAAAATGGTTTAGTTTTATTTTAGCTTGATACTGATACTTACACAGAAATCAATTATGACATGTTTTGCATTTGCTCCATTGCAACAGTTTTTCATCAAACCCTTTCAGTTTCTTCTCCAGTGTCTTTATAACAGATACTGTGATGCAAGTTAACCAGAAACAGGGTTTAGATTGACTTACAAAATTTGGGTTCAACAGGGCCCTTCGTTGCTAAGTTCAACGGTTCTTACAGTGAGTGAGTTGAGTTTTATGCCGCTTTTAGCAATACTCCAGCAATGTCTTACACAGGAAATATTGGAGTCCTGTAAAGTAATAAAATGGTGTAGCATGCTACAAGAGTTCAATTACATGTACTTTGATTACAGATACTATATATTTGTTTTTGGCCAAGAATTTGGTACAAAGAACACTATTGTACAACCCATCAAGACACAATGCATAGTTTTCTACATCCATTGTGTGTGTTGAACACACATTACTGTGATGCATATAACCGTGCTGAAACCATTATTAGATAGTAAAGATAGTAGAGGACACTCCCATAAACACCTGGCAAACTGACTTGGGTGTGAGTGTATTTCCCTGATGTACTGACTGCTCAAAAAGAGGAAAAAGTTGAAATGCTTATAGTGTGTTTTACATCATTGCATTGAATGCAATTGAAAAACATGTTTCATCTGACATGAAAGAATGCTATTACCTTCTGATTGGTCAGAAATCATTAACCTTAAATTCATGTATCTAATTCCATTTCATATCTCAAAATTAATGGTAGTTTTTCACCTCTAACAAGTGTAGATGGTCAATCAGAATATTAGCACATGTTTCTGATACCCTCAACAAGTTCTTGGTCACAATAACCTATCAAACATGCTTTCAACCAAAAAATACATACCATAAAGTAAAACATAGTGATACACTAACCACTGTGTCACAAAATGTACATTCTCTCACCTCAAACAAATTAAAATGTAAAAACTCTTAAATTTCGGTAGGTTTATGTCATAACTGTCAATGTACAGTAAATCTGTAGGTTTTGAGGAGAAATGTGTTGAGAGTAAACATTATTCCACACAGTCATGTCTTACACATTAAGACAATTGCTTACACATTACATTAAAAAAAGAATTGTACAGAAATAACAAAAATGACATGCATTTTTTAAGGTTATTTACAATTTGTGTAGGTTTTATTTACATCAGTTCCCACTCTGTTCACCCAAAAATGTTATATTGCCTGCCTAATTTCTACTCCGATAGGCTTCACGTTACAGTGTGCTTGTCCTTGATAAACCTCAAGATTCTGATACCACAGACTTGGCATTTATAGTTATATGCAGCAGTACTTTTTGTTACAGCAGGGGGGAAGAAGATGTCCCGCGACCTGTATTATGGCAAGTTCAGGTTCACAAGTCATTAATTGTTTCATTCCCTGTCAATCTACTTTAAAAGAAACACTCAAATAGTCACACAATCAATTATTTGAGGTCACTGTATGATATAAATATATATTATGTCACGAATGGCATGAGAAATTTGAATGGCGATAACTGTTACAGTTAGTTATGAGAAAACATCTATTTATACCGCCATGATTCCCTTCCGCCGCGTTAAATAAAAACATGATCGGCGGCAGTGAACGGGCTGAACACATCGGTGAATAGCTAATTAAGTATCATAATTAATTCTGTTTCATTAATTTAATGAACGACGGAGAGATGTTGTAAATACCGCTAAAATATGGCGATAACTGTTCGGTAGCCAGTAGTGTTAAACACTCATTGTTTTCTGTCAGGGATATCAGTTGGAAAGTCATTGAGGTACCGTAATTGCTCCCTCTTTCCTAAACAACATAAACACCTGGGTGTGGAGTACAGTTCTAGCATAAGTATGGTATTGTTCATATTTCATATGGGTACATGTCCACATTCCATATCCTGTGTAAGAAACACTTTCTCCATCCCTCATTACTGTTGCATTGTGATGCCTGGTAACAATAGATACATAACTGTAAATCACCTGAGACAATCAAGATTCTATGTCAGTCACGAAATATGAATCATGATACCCCATTTAGATACACTTTTAATTTTCCCTTCAAACCGTTAATGTGCAGAACATACTGGCGATAGTATGTCGGATGCAGATAGCCTACCAACAACATCATTCAACCGTGTTAAAATATCAAAACACCAGCCTGGTCGACCGGAGCACCCCGGATAACGTAACGAATATGTTCCCCTCTTAATAGGCTATAATAGCTGAAAATATCACTGTAGTACCAGCTTATCACAGAGAACATGGCATATAAGGTTCACCTTGCTCGACACTTGAACTGCATCTGAGTAATTAGGGAAATAAATTTACCTACCCATTGCCAGCAAATATACGACGAGGTATGCTCGCTGAAACTGCACAAATCCAACTTCAGTAATCGTTGACAGTGTCGTCCGTGTGTAGATATAAGAAACCGCACACAAGAAACTGAGAATCCAAAATCCAAGTAAAAAGATATTCATCTTTAGAATCTGACCGGCACGTCAACAAGTCAAAAGAATATTACGAACACTGACAAGACCTGACGAGACTTCGAGTGTGTGGAACAAGCGGCGGTCAATTCAAGCGAGGTAACTCTAACGCTCCCGTCAAATGAAGGAGCACCACGTCACAATGCTGGCGATGTGCTTTGTGGAGTCGCTCGACCGTCTTTCTGATATATATCCAGAATATTGCCTCGCGGGCACATCACCACGGAATTATAGTCATTAATTGACAGGAGTTGAGGCATGGCATAACATGATATTCCTTGATCTGTTGTCAGAGTGCAACTTTGAAGAAAATTTCCCTTCATTAACTATAAAATAAAATAACTATCGATAATAAAAGCATACAACTACTTGAACGTTAAGATACAAGGAAACTTACAAAATACCAGAAATACATTTATATACAGCCTAATCAGTGTATGAATGTGTCCCTTGATACTGAGAGAAAGCTTGTATTACGCCAACGTGACAGCTCAATGATGACTGTATTACCAAAAGGGAATACAAGAAAGGACAATAGAAAACGAGTACATAGGAAATGCTAACATATTCACCGTAAACATAGATTTGGGGCTTCTATCGAGATCGTGTGTATATGACATATGTATACATATCAAACATCTCATGAAATTGATTTTACATTGCGTAACACTCAAGTGATATATTACTGACAATAATTCCATACAAATTATTATATCTGTTTTCTTCTGAGTGCAGCTATAATGCAGGTTCGACCGTTCAATAATCTGAGTCCGACCTGAGCCCGATCTGTCATTTTAGAAATACTAGCTGATGTTTCCCCATTCTTGGGCTACATTCAGTTACGTTCAATCACAACTATAATCTCAACTAAAGCTACTAAAATCTATTGAAAATGTCGTATATGATCTGGAAATGATCTGTTTGATTGGCATATTAAAAGTTGATGAGTAAGAAAAAGGTAGGATATTTATATTATGATGCGACACTTCGCTATACATTCTTATACTGCTGACTTACTACAGCAGGAATATTCTACAGCGCCACTCATATTAAGTTATGAGAGAAGGTGAACACAAAATATATAGATTTCGAATATGAGCAAGCTATTATAAATATATGTATATATACAAGCATTTATACAACTAAAAAGCAATAATTATCTTATCCATACAAAATATGTTTTCTACGTTGAAGTATTAAAACGCAGGCGTTGGCAGTAAAACCGAAATCTTGTTTGAAAAGGACACAAACGTTTGTAGAACAACAATTTTAAAAGGTTGGACATTTTAGCCGTAACATTAAATTTTGTAAAATGGCTGTTCTAGAATTATCATATAAGGGGCATTGTATAATAAAACATGCTCTTCGTCTTTGACAAGATCAGTGCAGTTAAAACATACTCAATCTTCAACATTAAATTATACCTGCCTGTTCATATTCTTGAAGGTGCAATATCACATCTAACTTTTGCAAAAGCGGAACGGTAACTGCTGACATAACTTTTGCAACAACAGAAATCTTTAAGAGATCTGTAGGTACGGAGTTTTCTTCCAACAGTAATATAATTATCTTTCCATAAAAGTTCTTGCCAGTTTTAAACATAGGCATTCATTGAGATATCATACAAATGAGGACAAATTAATTGAGCATTTAAAAGAGAAGTGATGTCTGAAATATGCTGCGAAATTTTGCCGAAGAACGGTAATTCCATTTTCTACGATAAACTACAAGCCTTTTTGACTGTAAGAAAACACATTTTATTAAATGATCAGGCATATTTCTACAAGTATACCACTGTCTAACTATACATAACCATTGTTGGACAATAGAAGGGACCCACTCTGTGTCCGTATATTAATAGCAATAGTTTGTGCATATTTAGTCTCACCGCGAAAAACCGAATGGCCCTGTGAAGTGCACTGATTTCAGATAAATCGCAATATTACCCCATATTGTGCGCCCTAACGGATTACGGTCATACCACTCAGTCGTATAACTTGGAAGAAGTGTAAAACTGCATACCTCCAAGTGTCATAAACTTAGAAATAAGTAGTCCTAAAACCCTTGTGGCAGATTTAGCCGCAGCCTTTGGCATTAAATTATAATCAAGGTGTTCCGTTAGTAGTAGATCCAGATAGCAATAGCTACTAATATTATTGCTAGAGGCATTAGAGAGAACACAAGTCTCTGACTCACTTGCGCCAGGCAGAAATCAGCTGGCCTGGGTGTTGCATAGATCTCAAAGATGTTACGAAAGCACACCAAGCTTTCTTAGAAAAAAAATGGAATTTTAATTCCTGGAAAACCACGTAGAGGAAAACCAGGCACAGGAGTATGCTGTTATGTTCTTATGTGTGCGTGAGGGAGATCATGCGTACCCCAGGATCAGCTTGCTGGTCGTGAAGGACGTTTATTCTTCGAAATTAGGATATTTATAAAGCGCACATATCCATGCAACTAGTGCATGCTCAAGGCGCTGGCGAAATGGGGTCTTTTAATGCAAAACATTCTCAAGAGTAAGTGAACTCAGGATAAGAGAACCAGGTGCCTTTTGTTAGAGTGAATCAGGTGATGGAGCATCCAAACAAATATGCAAAAGGCCCCGACAGGAATCAATGGAATTTCATAGGGCTGGGTATTGCCCTGATTCTCATATTGTGAAATACTGCAATAATTTAAGAGATATTGCAATATATAGTGTGATATACTGATTGGAAGGTTTCTGCCCAAGTGCGTACATCACAAATTCATAATAGCTCTCTGTGTGCGACATCATCTTCTTAGTTGCTGTTATACCATACTTTCAGGCTCCCTGTAACCATCGTGTATGACTGTGTGTCAATGGTTTACAAATAGATAAAATTTAAGAGCCTTAATGTGGAATGTTTAATTAAAGTATGGCAACAAAGTTTTCCGAACATAATGATAAAGGTAATAGTATAACATGATTTTTATAGTCAATGTTGTGTGCTTCAACAGAATGCACTTCAAAGCAGTATGTAATTATTGTTACTGTATGTCAGTGAATCATTCAGATTCAACTCCAATATAAACATGTGTTAGCATGAACTATTGCAAAATGAAACAAAAACATGATTTAGATGAACTCCTTGAGCTTCAAAATCTCATGTGACCTCTAATAACTAAGATTCTTGAATAGAATGTCATTATACAGTCCTACTAGTCCTACAACATTTATAAGACTTAGGCCTTTATGATACATTGATAGCATATATACTGAGTCAAAAAAAGAAACTTCACATTCTTTCTTCAGGGCACTATAAAAGAACAAGAGATGGTAAGATGGTTAAATTGTTATTATTTCATTGCTGAGATCTGTGTGATGTACTTGATACACTGACAGTGCCATAATCAGTTCCATTAGGCTACACCGCCGTTCCAAAACATGGGTATACAGAATGTCAAGTCACAAGAATAAAAAATGCGAAATTTCTCAGTTCAATATCGTGTATGGCCGCCCCGCGCATTCACCACTGCCAAACACCGTCTCCTCATCGACTGCCTGATGCTTGTGAACACGTGGTTGGGGATTCTGCGCCATTGCTCTTGCAAGGCAGCGCCAAGTTCCTGCAAATTCTGAGGTTGGTTCCTAAGACCATGAAGCCTTCTCCCAAGTGCATCCCAAACGTGCTCTATTGGATTAAGGTCAGGGGACCTCGATGGCCAGTCCATGACGTTGATTCCAGCGTTTTGAAGGAAATTTCGTGTCAACATCGCGGTATGCGGCCGAGCATTATCTTGCTGGAACTGTAGACCTGGGCCATGAGTCGCCATGAAAGGAACGAGTTCAGGGGTGAGCACCCGGTCGCGGTAAGCAGCAGCTGTGAGGTTTCCACGGATGACCAGAAGTCGGGAACGGTTGTTCCCACAGAAAGCACCCCATACCATGCAACTTCCGCCCCTGAATCTGTCGACTTCCTGTACACAACATCGGGCATACCGTTCTATGCCTGCCGTCCGCGAATCTGAAAAGTAAACCTGGATTCATTGCTAAAAACGACTCGATTCCAGTCTCTCTGGGTCCATCGGAGGTGACGTTGGGCCCACAGCAGACGTTGACGTTGATGAAACGGCGTCAATATTGGCCCACGATATGGACGTCGAGAATGGAGATTGGCAGCCCGCAACCGATTTCGAATGGTCTGTGAGGACAGTCGACCTCTAAACATCTCAGCCCTGGTTCGTGTAGCCGGCAGAAATCTGTCACGTAGGTGACGTAGGACGATTTGACGGTCTTCTGCTCGTGACGTCACACGTGGACGACCCGACCTTGGGCGATCAGAAGTGGTGCCAGTTTGTTGTAGACGACCTCGCAAGTCATACACAGTACGACGCCTGCATCCCATTGCTCTTGCGACGTCAATAACTGATCTTCCCGCTTGCAACATGCCAACGGCACGTTCACGTTGCACATTTGACAATCGTAGCATTTCAAGTACCGTTAGAACTGTGGTTTAAAAGTGTTTTTTCAATTCTTGAGGCCGTGCATATGAAGAAAACTTCGATGCGAAGATCACGTGATCGACTGTACGTGCAAAACCTGATTTGGCACTAACGTCATTTGCACGACGAATGGATGGGTTTGAGTGGGTTTTGCTAACGTTTTTCTAGAGTCGAAAGATAGGGATCCCATTTCGGATACATAGATGTATTATCAGAGAAAGATTATTCATTATTTTTCAAATTACATTTTGTAAAGTTTCTTTTTTGACTCAGTTTCATTATGAAACAAACAAAAATAACAAAATAATGTGAATTATGAAATGGTTACTCAGAGCCAAGGGCTCTACTAATAAGTCCAAATGATATAGTAATAGTGGACCTGGTGGTATTAATATGAGAATGTTAAAACGAATTTGTACATCAATAGCTGAACTTTTTTGTTTACTGTATAATATTTCTTTGAGTCAGTGTGATTTTCCTTCAGATTGGAAAACAGGCAATGTTACCCCTATTTTCAAAAAAGGAGATAAATCCCTCCCTACTAATTACAGACCCATAAGTTTATTATCTATCCTCGGGAAAATTTAAAAAAAAATAATGTTAAGCATTCACATAACCATTTCAATAAACACATTA